GTAATGACCAATCAGTATGTGAAATATGAAGACTTTGTGATATATAGTTTTTAAGATAACCAGCGGAAACCATTCTGATACTTAAGGCCCCTATGACCTTGACTTTGACCTAGTAACCCCAAAATTAATAGGCATCATTAACTTGTTATGGCTAATCAGTATGTGAAACATGAAGACTTTGTGATGAATAGTTTTCAAGATAATCAGCGGAAACCATTAATACATACAGCGCCCCTGTGACCTTAACCTTTGACCTAGTGACCCCAACATCAATAGGGGTCATTTTCTAGTTACGACCGATCAGTAAGTGAAACATGAAATTTTGTGATGAAAAGTATTCTATGTAATCAGCGGAAAACATTCTGACATTTAAGGTCCCTGTGACCTGGACCTTATAGCCCCAAATTAATAAGGGGTCATTTACTAGTTATGACCAATCAACTTTATGAAAAAGGAAGACTTTGTGATGAAAAAGCTTTCAAGATAATCAGCGGAAACCATTCTAACATTTAAGGCCACTGTGACCTTGACCTTCAACATAATGACCAAAATCAATAGGGGTCATCTACTAGTTATGACCAATCAGTATGTGATATATAAAGACATTGTTTTCAAGATAGTCAGCGGAATATTAAGGTCAATTTGACTTTGACCTTTGACTTAGTGACCCACAGGGGTGATCTACTAGTTATCCCTAATCAGAATGTGAAATACAAAAAAACATTGTGATATATAGTTTTCTAGATTATCAGCGGAAACATAAGCAAAACAAAATACCCCTCTTCTTCGAAGGGGGGCATACAAATACTTATGATCAACAATTATGGCGTTTCAGTATTACAAAAGTGTCTATTACGATGTAGTCACTTAGAGTACAATATGAATTTGATAATCATGAACGTTTTTGACAACGAGGCTAGTGATATATTAACTGAATTTGAAATAGAGTATAATTTTGGGGGTTAAAAGCGATGCTAGATGGCGTAAAATATGAATTGATACAGAGAATAATAAGATTGGATCAAATAATGAATTGATGATATTAGAACATTATATGGTGCAAAACTGAAGTATCAATGGTTATATGTTGTAAGGGGTGAAGTACAAAAGAATACGTTTAGTAATATATACAGAAAACGAATTAAGTTATGTGAGTAATATCACTTACTTTGTTTAGAATCAATATATTCTTTTTCTTTCTCGTCTTTATTTGCTGTTTTAATTTTTTTGCATAACGTCTCTCCTAATCCAGCCAGGTCTGCTCGTTCTTTATCTCCTAGTTCATGAATTTTCCCAACTTCTTTGTCCAGTTCTTCATGCAGTCTTTTAACAGAAACATCGGCTTCATCTTTTAATTGTGACTGAAGAGATAGAAGATCTTCTTGTTTTCTTTTTATCATATCTAGTTTAATTCTGTCATATTGCTCGTCTAATCCAGCCTTCATCTTGTCTTGAATTGCCTTTGCCACATCGTCTAGTACGTTTCTTACATCATCTTTACCAATGACTAAAGTGTCATTTTCTAACTGTAATTATAAATACAATACAAATATCGATGCCTTGGTGCAAAAGGGTTGTAACTCAATATTTTGAAATTATTCAGGAGAGACAAAAAACTTATTTATTCTTTTACATTCCAATAAATTCTTCTTTAATTTTGCTTTTTGGCTTTAATTCAATTACTGATATATAATTGATTGGGAAGGTTATTTTATTTTGTCAGCATAAAGAGATAATTGATAAAGTTTCAGTTACAACCCTTTCGCACCAAAAAAATCAAAAATTTCAAAAAATGATTTGGTGCGAAAGGGTTGTAACTAAATTTTTGCTTTAAATTCTGATAAATGTAATTGGTCAAATGAACAGATCCAAGCTTAGTTGTGTTAAGTATGAACTAATTTAACATATTGCCTGGATATTTCAGTGAAAAACCTTCAAAATATATGTTTTTAAAATGTAATTTCAGTCAAATTATTTTTTTAAAGAAATTCACTTTATATATATTTTTTCTATGTGACACACAGTTCAGATTGTCAAACCCATCATAAGTACCAAATATGCATTAACATGTATGTTTTTGCAAGAATCAAAGGTAAATTTTTCGCAATTCAAAATGTGAACTTACATAATGACAAAACCATCTAAGACACATTTATTTTTGTTAATATAAGCCTTTTGAAAATGAAAATACTCTTATTTTATTTTCCATCTATTCTATACATAGGCTTTCAGTGTTTTTTTTGGTCGAAATATTCGGCGATATTCGGCCCCTTTCCCCACCTCTCGGAATATATATTTTTCCCCATGAAATTGCGAAAATTCCCCACCGTCAAAAAAAATATACCCAAACAAGAAACAGAAAAGAAGACACACAAACCATAATTAAATTATGCCAATTTATTTTGATTCACATAGCAAATTCATGAACTCAATCATTATTATCAGGGATGTTTACTTTACGCTTGCTTTGCGACATAGGTCGTTCGTTTTACCGCGGATGTAAGACAATACGGTAACGCGAGAATCGGTTATTGAGTTTATTATTTACTGTTGGCTTTAATGAAATAATACATGCAAATATTTATAATTAAACAATCGCCTACTTGGCAAGTATAAAATAAACAGAATATTATAAAATGAAAGAAGAATACGCTATGAAAAAGAGATTACAGTAATAAGATGAAAATCCTCAAGTTACCGAACTGCCGATGTGTCAAATTGTCGCTGTATCTTTACGGCTTTTACTACTATCGCATTTACTGCAAAAATGTCACACAATAGTCGGTGTTATCGAAAGCTAGTCGAAAGATAATAAATAAACAAGCAAAGAACAAACGTATCGATGTTCTTTTTAAGCAGCAGGCACTTTCTGTGCTAGGTTCAAAGGAAAAATATCAAAAACCAGACCAATGCAAGTCAGCCGAGGTACGCTCGATATTTTTTTCTCAGCGTATTTTATTTAGTAATAATACATGATATAAATATTTCCAATCAATTCACTAAATAACTTGTCTGCCAGTGCAAAGAAATGATAAATTATGATTATAGAAACTACGATTATGTATGCAAAATTTCATAACAAATAAATCTGTGTGAATAATGGGTGGAGCTTGCGTTGAAAGGCTCTTCAGTTTAATGAACCATTCAACCTACTGTGCACTCCTCACAGAAATAGACTAGGACAAAACAGTCTTGACAACCTGATTAGAATATGCAACTATGATGGACACTTAAACATTGATGACCTGAATGCTGTCATCAATGAGTTTGATAATGACAGTAGGGTTCCTCCAAATGAAATTGCACTGAATCAAACTGAACTGAAGTCACTCATTAAATAAAGTTGTTAACTAATTTCAATTAGTTGTTTTATTTATTTTATAGGATTGTTTAAAAATCATGTATTTTTAGTCTTTTTATTGAATATTAATAACACTGAAAATTCCCCTTTTTTGGCATTTATGCGCTATTTTTCCCCACCCAATGGGCACTGACCCCCTTCCCCCAAAACTGAAAAAAAAACACTGGCTTTTCTTAATTTGAAAACTTAGATAATTCCTAGGATGTGCTTCTTTACTATTAAGCCAAAAGTATGAGAAAGATGATAAATATTATAGATGTTCTAAGCTTCTAAGCTCATGCTATTCTTACAACTCTTTACAGTCCCAAATTTCATTGTTTATAATTATATAAATCAGTCCATTCTGAATCAGTCAGTAATTAAATGAGAAAAAAAATTATATAAGGCCTGCAAATAATAACAATTACAAAATGCAATCCCCCACCCCAATAACATTCACAGGTGTGCACACAAACGCACATACAGCTGAGGCTTTATGAATCATTTTAAATAGCAGATAGAATATATCTGATAATTTACTTTTATCTAACAGAAAACAAAGGGTCAATAACATATTTTACTTGATATTTTAACATGACCCGCATTTTTCCCTATTGAACATAGAAGAACCTATGCAATAAAATCACTGTTTGACATTCTATATTAAGACATGTGATGTAGTCATTATACACGCAAAGTAACCACTAAAAATGTGATGTGCTGAAAATGAGTATGAAAACAAATCAGGCACAATTTAGATAAATATAAGGTACGGCAGCATTAAAATTTTATTTGTTGATGTCGTGTTAGAATCAAAATAATATATACCTATAAGAAGAAATTGAATCCGAAGATAGAGCGGATGTTGATTTATAATTGCAGACAACGCTAAAGTCGATTTCGGTATCGTAACGTACCGGCTAAAGTCTGTTCTTTTCCGCACTTTAATACCGTGCATGTAGAGTCCGGTATCCGAGCACGGGAAAAAAAATATGATTTTTCCCAACGAAATATTCATGTAAGGTTATCAATTAACTCTGTAATCTGGGATGCTCTATACAATTCAAAAAGTCAGTGGAATATTTCGTGTCCGATCATTGTGCATTTTTTACCCGCCAATATAATTGTGCACAATTTTCATACCTTTTTCCCCGCAAAAACATTATTGATTATAACAGATAAGAATAAATCACTGAGATTTTTAATGTCACAAAAAATAAAACACATGTATACATGTAAGCATAATCAAATGTATTATTTTAACCCATTTGCGCCTGTTGTCTACTTTTGTAGACACTAGCAGTTATCAGTACACTAGGACCTAATTATGAGCGCACATTTGTTTATCATTGTTATTTTATACTTGTTGTCATTATAAGCGTTAATTGGACTATTTTGCTAGACAAAATGCAGACCACTACGTTTTTTGCAGTGTGTTTTCAACAAGAATGTGATAAAAATTGCCTTGAAAATATTATTGAAAATGGCTAGCAGAAACAGGTATGTAAAACTTTATATTGTTTTTATTTTATATCATAAAGTATGATTGTTTTATATTGTATAATTATATTTCTGCTCAATTCCTGTTTTATAATTCAGAAATATGTATAAAATGTGTTATGACAGTCAATTTAGATTTTGTCTACAAAAGTAGACAATAGGATCAAATGGGTACGTTTTATCATTATGAAAATATTTTGTTGTTTACAGAAGATACACAGTTAATGAAATCATATCAATGCTTGAGGATGAAGGTAACTTTGAAAGGGCAGATATACATGTTCAACCACCTCCTGTAGATGAACTGACAGATGAAGATAGTGCAAGTGAAGATGAAGAAGTAGGTTACAACAACCTCAGTGGACGTCAGTTAGACCAACAAGCAACAGCGACAGTTATTCGCCTAGATGGACGTCATGTTGTTGATTCAGCATCAGACTCCGATCTAGTTAGTAATAAATAAATAAAATAAATAGATAAGATAAATGAATAATAAATAGATAAATAAATAAATACGAAGCAAGTAAGTAAATAATGTTACAGTAATCCAGTTGAGAATAAGATTTTTTTATATTTATCATATTTTATTTTTCAGGAAACTGACCATTCTTCAGATTCTTCTGATACAGATGAATACGAAGTGCCTGCAAATATTGCAAAAAAGACCTCAAGTAAGAATTGCACTACGGGATCCAGCTCCGCGTCCCAAACGACCTGCACCAGTAAAGAGGAAGTGGGAAAATAAAGATCTACCTGAGCAAGATAAAGACAGATTCACTTGGCATGGCTCAAATATAGACAAAAGTCGATGGCCGCAAACACAGATGGCATCTTCAACTTATTTTTTGATGATGACGTGATCAACATGATTGTTGAACAGAGTATAAGATATGCTGGTTCAAAAGGCAACCATTCGTTTTCAACTTCACCCCAAGAAATTAGGATCTTCTTAGCAATTCTGCTTATATCAGGCTATAACACTGTGCCAAGACGGAGACAGTTCTGGAGCCGGGATGATGACGTAAGGAATGAGGCAATAGCTCGTACAATGCCGCGGAGACAGATTCGACATATTGGTGCGATATGTACATCTTTTGCGATAACAACAATCTTGACAGAGAGGACAAATTTAGCAAAATAAGACCACTGCTATGTCTGCTGAATGAGCGCTTCTTGTTATACTTCTTGAAAGAGAAAAACCTTTCAATCGACGAAAGCATGATCCCGTACTATGGGCGACACGGAGCGAAACAGTTTATTCGTGGGAAACCAATTAGGTTCGGTTATAAGATGTGGGCGTTAACGACAGCACTTGGATATGTTTTACAATTTGAGCCCTATCAAGGGGCAAAAGGCCACCAAACCATGATCCTGGCTTCCTTGGAATGGGCGGAGCAGTAGTTATGGACCTGCTTTCAGAGCTGCAGAAAGATGATGCATACCATCTGACTTTTGATAATCTATTTACTTCCCTGAAGCTCGTGGACCGGCTTACAGATATGGGAATATCTTGCACAGGAACCATCCGTGCCAACCGAATAGAAGATTGTCCTGTCAAAAATGTAAAAGACATGGGAAAAACGCAACGAGGAAACTATGATAAAAGGTATGACGCACACAAAGGTCTGATACTGGTGAGGTGGAATGACAACAATATAGTAAATGTGGTGTCAAATTGCCATGGAGTTGAACCATTGCAACAAGCAACACGGTGGTCAAAGCAGGCAAAAGCTAGGGTGCGCCTTCCGCAGCCATACCTTATAAAGCATTACAACCAGACAATGGGAGGTGTGGACAGGATGGATCAAAATGTTGAGAAGTATCGTATCTCTATCAGATCCAAAGAAGTGGTGGTGGCCAGTGTTTATGTATTGCATTGACCTTGCGGTGCAGCAAACCTGGCACATTTACCGTGCTACTGATGCAGGATTGAGGCAACCATTAGATCTGTTAGATGTCAGACGAGCTCTGGTTACTGTGCTGCTTGCTCAGGGGCGTACACCTGCTGTCAGCCCTGGCAGACCAAGAGGTAGGATAAGCCCATTGTCAAGAAGAATTCCAGACCATATCCGACTTGATGGTAAAAATCATTACGCAGAGCCAGCAAAAGAAGTGCGCTGTTTATTGTGTGGAAAAAAATGCAGGACACAATGTTCCAAATGTAATGTTGGAGTGCACAGGAAATGCTTTGAAATGTTTCACAGTGTTTAGGTATTCATACGATCAAAGCCAAAAGACATGAACAATAATAATTCATATTCAGAATGAATTTCAGAGTGAACACTTCTGTGCCTAATGTCTACTTTTGTAGGAAAAGTAATAGAAAACATTGCCTGTATAAACTTTAAGGATTTTTTCAAGTAAAAGTTATCAAATAAACCAACAATAGGTTATCTGGACATATATTCTATATGTGTTTTACATATACCCATTTGCGCCTGTTGTCTACTTTTGTAGACAAAATATTAAAACACTAAAATAAAAAATACAGTACTTATATTTGAAAAATAAACGGATGTATGTTATAACTATATGGTTACTATATGTTTTATACATTTCTTATATAAAAATAAAATTCCGGCACAAATGGGTTAATGATCAGGATTTCGATCTCTAAATAAGTAAATCAGGCGATCTGCATTTCAGTCCTTTTGAAAACGGATGCCGTTGGCACTGAATTCCTTGAATAATTTTGTAAGAGTCTGGCATAATCACTCCGGTACATAATGTCCAACAACAGAATTTAATTTTTTTACAATACATGTATAAGCTTAAATGTCAATGCTCTTCATCTGTCATGTTTGAATCACTCCTATCACTGTCGTACCGGACGTTGTCATAAACGGCTTCTGCACTCGCTACATCATTCTGGTCAAAACCTAGAAAGTGATGGCAAAGGAATCAATACACATCTATTGTGAAATGAAGACAGTATTCTTTTTTTTTTATTTAAGTCTGGACACCGGGGGAAAGGAGCAGAATGTCCATGTTGTAAAAATGTTTAACATTGAGCATGAAAGATTTATGGCAAGCCTTATAACAGTTTTATGCATAACTCTCAAGGGTCTTAGCTTACCAAAATTGTAACAGACAGCACATACTTATTATACGTTCAACAGCCTAATTTTAAATTTATTTTCTTTGAGCGCTAAGAAAAATTTTCGTCTGCTAAAAATGTCTCTGCTAAATGAAAAGTTTAACCTATATCGCAGCATGCCGAAAAGAAATGTTGTCTGAATATCATACCAACTTGGAACCTGACCAGACGCCTGGAGTTACTCCGGTGTCCAGTCTGGTTCCGGCCTTTCAAATTTTGCCGCCAACGTGCATAGAGTAAAGAATGTTTCACAAACTGGAAACTCAAGTTCTGCGTCGCTGTCGCTGTTCCCAAGTGTCCACAGAGAATCGTCCTCGGTGCCATCTAATGCATTTGAAATGCCTACTTTCTTAAAGCTCTTGACCAATAAGAGCTTCTGACAATCTGTCTCAGGATTCTTTGACCCACTGAAGCAGAACTTTGTTAGTTGGCTTTCCTCATTTTTGCCTCCGGCTGTAAAGGTGTGATCTCCATTTACCATCCAGTTGTCCCACTTGTCTTGAATAAAGGCCTTAAAAGGTTTATTCCAGCTAACATCTGCAGGTTGTAAGATGCCCGTGCAACCCACCAGGGATCAGACCAATGTCGGAGTTGGCGCCAAAATCACTACGGCGGGATACCATTGACTTTACGTCATCAGTTCTATGTGCCCGAAAAGCGTCCCAAACTAGCATCTTTCGAGTGTCCTCCCGTCGCCCAAACTGAAGCACCCACCATTTTAAAATATTTTCATTTTACCCCAACCATTATCGGACCTTCTAACGAGCACACCAAGTGGTACGTCGGAAGCAGGGGGTTTCATTTTTCCTTTAAGAATGACCACTGGCGGTAATTTCCTGCCGTCAGCCATAGCAGCGAGCATAACCGTCACTTTCTCTTTTTCATGCCCTGTTGTGCGTATGATGACGGATTTCTCACCCTTATGGTGAAGAGTGGAATTTCCAGGCATGTCAAAGTACACCGCTGTTTCGTCCATGTTTTCCAATGGCATTCCATTGGATAGCTCCGCAATTTCCTCATTCGTATAACGAATTGTGAAATGAGACTATCTTCGTCTTCAACAATGCGGTTCTGGCATTCGTTGAGCTACGGTTCTTTTTTTTTTTTTCCCCCCGTCTTTTTTTTCACGCATTGAAACAGAATGGCGCTTCATCCACTTTTGTAGCCATCCACGACTGCCCTTAAATGTTAGATCCCCACTCACAATGAACCGCCCGCTGCGCTTCCAGATCAGCTTTTTGCCGGTTATTTCGTATGCTCGATCTTAGTTCACTAAACCATTCAAAAATATCCCTTTAACTGTTCATTTTCACTTTTCGTCCAGCGCCCGGGAGACGTTTCACAGACATTAAGCTTTCTCCGAATCGTCCAGCATCGAACTGTTTTTAATCCATTCTCTTATTCTTTTTCGATCAATGGCGATTTTTCTACTTGTTTCCCGAAATAGTGTGGTCTTTTGCATATTTAGCGACATTTATTTTAAATTTCACAGTATATTGACTCGTGTTTCCCATGATGTTAAAAAAAGTAAGAATAGTTCTAACCGATTTTACTGACACAAGCATATATGTTCTTTAAGGGATTGGTGCGGGATTTTGATATTAAAAGACAATCGACTATTGTTCAAAATAATTTTAATCAGAACTAATCTCCCATGTTGGGCCCCAATACATTGAACCATTCACGTTGACCTTGCTGACGTAATGAAATAGGCGCGTGAGTTTTGGCATCTCGGAATGGTTATTTTTATACATGTATATATATCTTATACACAAAACACATTGAATTATGGCAACACCTATGCTTGTTGTCTATAAAATCTGTTTTATTAAGGGATATCACGTTTACAAATATACATGCCCAGTCGGAACTATACTTAAGTGTAATTTGGAACCAGAAAATGAACATAATGATAGCGCAATTATCGTAAAAAATAATGGATCTGTTTTGGACATATACCCGGAGGGATTATGCCAGCCTCTTACAAAATTATTCAAAGATGGACTTTATTGTAGAAATCAGTGCCGAAATACTTTGGAGAACCACTTCGTCATCAAAAAGGAACTTTTGTAAAAAAGGTGGTGGCATTGAAATACCGTGTACATATAAACTTTACGGAAAAAAAAAGAAAAGAAAAGGGTTAGTTCGTTCCTACGTGAAAACGGAAATAAGGAAACTTGAATTGTAAAGGTAAGCTCAATTGTACTCAAATCGGGGGATGGGCGTTTAAAAGGGGCATTTAATTTTTCAATTTTGGGCTGAAAAATGGCCGTTTTTTGTCCAAAATATGGGGGGTGGGCGTCTATTAGAGTATGGGCGCTAAATAGAATTATTACGGTATGCAAATCGCTTGGAATCACTTGATAAAATCACTGTTTGTTGAATGTGCATCATTATATCACTCGGGCTACGCCCTCGTAATTCCACACATCCGACTCCAAACAGTGATTTTATTGAGCGATAAAATCACAGTTTGTGATATATTATTTCTTAAATAATAGACCTATGTAACTTGTATTAAGCTAAACCTACATGTAGCCTGCTTATCTGTGTAATTCAACCACACATCATACTGTTGGCTTGCAGTTTAATGGAAAGTCTTTAATTCTTTTTCTTTTGTCCAATCAGCAGATATTTGTGATACAATATTTATACAATTTGTCTTTGACAAGACAATCTCATGAAAATATTCCAATAGTAATACATGTAAGTGATAAAAGTAATTCATGTAAGTTTAAAACCAAATCAAGAATTGAGTAATAATTGTATAATTTCTTTAAGTTATTTAAACATTTAGTAATTAAAAAAGCATCGAAACACAAGGCTGTCGGATTTGTATGAGAGTATAAATCAGATTGCCGATTGTTTTGATGTTCTTTCTCTTTTGTATCTTAGGCAAAAATGAAAACACATTCCCAGTCATCCAATAAAAATGTACTAAATGTTTAAGC